GATTTATTGGAGGTCAAAAATGTCTTTGCGTGTTTGATAGCAGATGAGACTACTATACCATTTAAGTACGGGACAAGTTGCCATCTCATTTATTTTGTTTTGTAACGTCTACATGACTCTATTTGTTATGTGCTACACGACAACAGGATAATAAGGAAATTTTATTTTTTTCCTTTTTAGGAATAAGATTAGAAAACTAATAAAAAAGGCAAAGGATTTATTTGTCACTCTAAAACTTATAAAAGATCAGAATATTTATAATAATAAAAAAATCCTGAACTTATGGCGATTTATAAATTATAGCTAGGGAACACCGTTTTTCACGCTTCAATTTGTCCGACTTTATTCACAATTTAAAGGTAAATTTGGTTGGCGTTATATATTTACAATGTTATTTAAATTAACGACGTGGTAGAAAAACTCTTTTTTTAACGAAACTGTGGTAGAAAAAAAATGACGCAGATGCTGAAACCATAATAAACCAAAGTTCAGAAAGAGACGCCGCAAAGAAAGATATAGTACTAGGAAAGCAATATTGTTTTGCTAATTAACATGTACGGCTAGCTAGGAAATGCATGTTCTTTTTAAGTCAAAGTCATGGTGCTCCTTAACGTATTCGTAGGATCTTTCTCTTCCATCAACTTGTTCACCCTTTTGTTTTTGTATGTATTTCTTCTGCTCACTTGAGTCTCAGCCTTGTATTACTAGTGCTTACCGACGGTGAAACACATTGTAGAATGTTCATCTCTAAACGATTAATTAGACATTAATCAACAATTAGATATTTATCTAATTTTGTTTCACCACATAATTTTTTATGTGTGGTTAGTTTCTTAATTTATTCTTGTCGGTCCAAAAAATGCCACATAGGTTTAGTTTCTTACTTTTTAAAAACATTAATCTTTCGTACGTAGCGAGGCCTGAACATCCAATATTGACTAGTTTGAAAGAGTTCGGTCTTCGGCTCCAAGGATCTATAACATTTTGCACCTTTTGATGATCATTACTGATTCTCCAACGAAACCTTTTTCTTTTTTTTTGTTTTTTTGTTTTTTTAAACAAGTACTCTCTCCTTCAAATTGTACCTTTTCAAGTGCTTTTAGCAGGTTAAAACTCACTCTTCATCAAGAAAATGGCTAGGTAGAAAATACTTAGCGCTTTAAATTTTACACGGGCCATGAGGGAAAGTTTGAGTTCGTGGGAACCCTCCACCCTTGTTTTGCAAGCGAAGCCCTATTAAAAGCCGACATATAATGAAAACCCACTCCTCCATCTAAATTCGCTTTCCCACTGTAATCACTAACCAATATTGCATATGAGACAAAGTTTGCAATAAGCTATTAGAAATGGAGGTCAACACACTAAGGTGATTTTTTTAATTAAAAAACACTCATGACTCCTCCATCTAAATTCGCTTTCCCACTGTAATCACTAACCAATATTGCATATGAGACAAAGTTTGCAATAAGCTATTAGAAATGGAGGTCAACACACTAAGGTGATTTTTTTAATTAAAAAACACTCATGTGACATAAGCGGAGATAGCTTCGGTCACAACCTTTATCAAAATTTCTCTACCATCCACAAAAAAAATAACTTTTTTAAAACACCCTCTTAGATAGTGTTAAAAGGTATTCTTCTGATTTCTCTCCCAACAAAAGATGGTATAAGCTGCATAACACATGATGTCATCCTGCACTGTAGGAAAAAGCCCCCATGAGATCAATTCCCCATTTTTGGGGAGTTTTTGACTTGGCATGAAGCTATTTTTCACATGATCTTCCAAAATTGCCATACGGTTCCCAGCTTCCGACTTACTAAGGATGGTCTTTATCGTCCGCGAACAGCGTTTGTTTTGATCGGGTAAAAATTATCATGCTCCGCCTTTCTTATATCAACATTCAACAATGGAAAACCTTATGCACACATAAGAAAAAGAAAGGTACATAACAAGCGGTGTAGTCCTACGCCGCAGAATGTGACTTTTGTTTTGCCAAATTGTGGCTAGCTCAATTGGTGTTTGAAAAACGTGTGAATTATTTTTAAAGTCTTAGATTCAAGTCTCAACTGACATACTTAAAAGTAAATAAACAAAGAAAGTGACAATCTTGCCCGCCGGCGCTCTATTTACTCGGAAAGAATAACAGAGAAGTGATCCCACAATCCGTAACCCGGTTTACCCAACTGGGAGAAAATCCAGCCTACTCATAATTGCCCTCAACGAAAACCACATAACCCTCCTTACGTCCTATATATTCCAATACAAGTATACAATAAAACGAATATATCTGAAATGTTGGAGAAAAAGATTATGGTGGAATATATATTGTTTTCTCATACACAGAATATTTCGCTATGGTTTTAGAATTCTTGTTTCCAAAGTCCTTCCATCATTTTGCAGAATAACAGATACTATTTTTAGTTACCTAGTTCGCCAGAAATAAAAACTGAAAATATTTCTTAGGGCAAATAGCACTGGTAGTCTGCTCTATTGGTGTACTTTCAGTTTTTGACCGTTAAATATGGTAAAAAATATATCAGATTAAAAAAATATACAAAATAGACATATTTTAATATAGATTTAACGGCTAAAAAGTAAAGGACTACTAGTAGTTTATTTTTACAAGGACTACTAAAGAAAGTGCCTAACTATTATGTAAAAATGCACATATTTCATAATTCATTGATGTCATGCATTGTAATGCTCATGTCATGCATTGTTTATATAATTAGATGTATGACTCGCAAGTGATAATAGAATTAATGAGAGAAGATGTTAAGCAACGTATTCAAAGGACACTATATTAATTTAATGTTGCGTCCAAGCTGAAAATTAATATTTAATATTGTCAGGTCGTTTGGGAGACGTCTTCGGACTTTCATTCTCGCAAGTGGACTTAAAGCCTCTTAAAAATTTTATTAATTCAAATCAAAGATACGTAATAATTCTTTTTATTTGTTTGTTTTTAATTAGGATTGGTTACCATATTTTGGAGTGAATGACGGCGGCAAGTTAGTTTTTTTTTCACTACTAATTTACATCTCAATCCAACCCTCACGTCCCAATCAAGATGTGAATATATTCTATTAATTTATTTATTTTTAAAAAAAATCCACAGTTCAATAATTGGATTTGTGAATTGTCAAATAACCACGTGATTCCGTTGGCAATGTGGCGACCAAACTCTTTGGTAAGGGTAGAGAAAAACTCAAAACCGGATTTAAACCGACCTCCAAAAGTAAATGGTTTGTCAAATAATAATATATATCTAAATGCTAATACAAATACTTTGATAAAGGTCGTATCTTCTTGTTCACATGACCGAACAATCACACGAGGAAAACGTGTCCATACCGACATGTTTAATAATATTTGGGTGCAAGAACTCTTCTCCAATACAATGTTACTCAACAACAAATGTTTAATAATTGTGAAATTGTTATTTCCCTACTTTGAAAAGTTATTATTTTTCTGTTTTGCAAAACATCAATGTTAAACATTTAATCAAAATACTATATTGAAGTATACGGCGTAAAATTGCTCACGTACATGGAGTGTTAATTCATATCACATGTCGTGTTAAAATATAATAATATATGTCAAAATAACAAATTAGAGTACAAGATTTTTAGCAAAGAAAAAAAACTATAAAAGTCTAATACTAATTTTTTGAAAGGCATCAATATAAAAAAGCTAGCAAGACTTTAAATAATATATAAGAAAACGATCATATTAGCGTGTGTTCATTTGCACAACTCAATCATGACTTAAGTTGTGTGTGTGAGATAAAAAATACTGTAATAAAAAAATTAAATTTAAATTTATGTGAGAGAAAATACTGTAATAATATAACTTAAATTGTGATAATAAATACGCTCTCTTTGCCGCAGTATCACCACCCACTACCAGGGGCGAAGCCGCCTTTGGGCCCTGGCTCCTAATTTTGATATTTAAATTTTAAACCAGATGTATGTAAATGTAAATGTAAAAGTATATAAAAGCATACGAAGAATTGTGATTGATCGGTTTCTTAAAAATTACAAGAACCCGCAGATAATCTCAACGAACAAATTTTGGCACTAAAAAAACTTGTACCCGTGAAATAAAATACGCCTTTGATTAAAATGTTACATTAGCGCATGGGAGCATAAAATGAATAATCGTGACAAGTACACGTATATATAATGTATACAAATTTGGTACTAGCATTGACTTTTACTTTAAAAATTGTTAAGTTAGTACAAAAAATATATGAGAAAATTATGTATACAACCACTACACAAAATATATGAGAAAATTATGTATACAACCATCATTTTATACAATCTTTATATTTATGCCATTTAAGATAAACGTTTGTGTCACTTAAGATTATTTTTATTGATTTAATAGAAGGCATATTTTTATTATGTGGCATAAATGTTAATTAATACCATTTTAAGTGGTATTTATGATTTTTTAGCAATTAAAATAACAAATCCTTTCTTAAATTTAAGTGAGAAATATGCAGTATTATATTAAGGCCAAGAGTTTAAATCCCTCCTCATAGTTAAAAAAGAAAAATCCAACATGACATTTTTGGAATATTATTACCTTAATATTTTTACAAAAAATATATATTTTTTCCTCTTTGAATTTCAACAATTTAAAATACTCTTTTTTTAAGATGAAATTAGCACAGTTATGCTTTACATATTGCCTACGTATTTTCTTACCATGAGAAAAATACCATCATTACTTCTTAATTTTTATAATATTTTAAATTCATTAAGTTCACTAATTTAAATTTTTAATTTAAATTAAAATATAATTTTATATAAATTTTTTTTATTATAATAAAAAAATTAGATATGACTGGTATTTTTTTTTACTCTAATAAAAGACTGTGACCTTGTGGGGCTATCAACTTCAGCATCCCTCTCTTTTCCTCACTTTTTTTTCTTATTTAATTTTTTCCTTCTCTCTCTCCCCCTCTCTCTCTCTCTCTCTCTATCAAAGTTATAAATTTGAGGTGCAAAAGAGCTGTCTTTTTGCTTTTACGAGGAAAGAAAAAAGGCCCTCAAACTTTGGTCCGCAGGTCCGGCATTCTCCCTTCCTCTCCAGGCTTCATCAGCACCATCACAATCTCTTCTCTTCTCCTCTTCTGAACTTAAAAGGAAAACTGAAAAAGATAAAGCTCCCAAAAAACGACAACGACAACAACAACAACTTCGAAGATCAAAAGGCCTCAACTCTTTTTCACGCGCGCACATAAATCTCATTTGTTGTCTCCCGATTCATGTAAGTCCCTCCGTCTATTGCTTTTCATTTCCTTATCAAAAGTCGAGCTTCTCCACTTTTATCTTCTCTTTCTCTCTCTCTCTTTGTTATTGTCGTTTTCGTCAATATCTAATGTCGTTTGCTTCTTCTTCTCATTGCTCCCCTGTTTTTGCTTCATGCTCTGTTTTTCTCTCTTCTCTTCCATTTCTTCATCAAGATCTTAGATTTTCTACTCAACACAAAGAAACCCAAAAAGGGGAAACTTAATGTTGGATTAAGGATCTAAAAAGGTTTTGTATTTTTTTATTGGGTTTAAATTTAGTTTTGTTAAACTCTGTTCTGTTTCTGTTTCTGCTCTTTAATTTTCTTTTTTTTTCTTTTTTTATTGTTTATTTCTTTTTCTTCTAGGATCTTCCAATGAACTGTTTTAATGACTTCATGTCTCCATTTTCCCTGCAACTGGGTCATTTAATATTGTGGCGTTGAAATTTAATGATCCATTCTTACACTTGTTAATTAAATCAAGTGTTTTTTAATCCCCCTCTTGCCATTTGATTAATTATCTATTTTGTTTTCTCTTGAAGACTTTCACTTTCTAATTCATATTTTTTAAAATCTTCTTATTAGAAAAAGAAATAATCTTCAGTTAACCGATTCGGATTCCCTTTAAAACTAGCTAACTATTGATTAAATCTCTAATTAATTAGGCAGAGCTTATTTTTATTGGCTAATCTGATTGGAGGATCATAATAATCTCGTTCTTCTTCACAATGAGAGCCGAGCGTGGAAGGATCTCCAAGGTAAGCCAAAAAAAAACCCATCTTTTGTTATTAATCTAGCTTCATAAATCATGTTTAAACCCATAATAATCACTCTTTACTTTAATTTTAATCTTGATTTATTATAGCATGCTTCATGGCCGAGATTAGTGAGAAAATGGCTAAACATACAAGCTGATGAATTTTATTCCGACTACGCCATAGAAAGTAAGATTTATTTTTATTTTTTACTTTTTTTGTTTTGCTTCTTATTGAGTAATAATATTATAATATATTAATTAATAATTATAATTAAATACGATTTTATATTTTTATTATACTTAAAATAATCACTTAAAAATTAATTAAACGTAATTTTAAAATTAATATCAAAATATTATTAAAATAATCTCATTTTTATTTTTGTATTAAAAATAAAATTATTTTGAAAATGTTATAAAATAATCTCATTTTTATTTTTGTATTAAAAATAAAATTATTTTAAAAATGTTACCAAACACTTCAATAACTCGGTATGGCCTTAAACGCAGTATGTATGTATATACATATATACTGCATTACACATACATTTATATTTACATAACATGGTGTATAAACAGAGCTTTGAGAGATAAATGGTGTAACTATTGAAGTTTTTTGAAAAATTCTGGAGTACCAGCATATGGCGGCAAAACTCACAACACCAGCATTTGCAAAGAAAGAAGAAAAGGTGATCAGAGAATGAGAGAGGAGAGACTAGAGAGAATGTAGATATTCAATAATTAATAATCAACATAAGAGAAACATTAGTTTATTTTTTAATAATGAAAGCTTTTAGTTTAAATTAGGTGTTCATCTTCCAAATTTAATGTTACATAAGTTTTTCCATTAATGTAGCGAATGTGGGTTTTCAATATTTAGGAGATAAAACGAAATAAAAAGTGACATAATTATGAAGTGGATTTATAATATTTATCTTTAATTTTAACTAAACTTAATGTTAAGTATGGAGTTTCTGTAACTAGAAAAACACACGAGTTGATTTTGTCTCGTTAAAAAGACACAATAGATAATCTGAACGTCTTTTAGAGTGCACAGTAAATTCTTGAATTTTAATTAAAACATGGAGTTATCTCACTGTGCTAATCATTTTCTTCAAACGGAAAGAAACGTGAAGGGTTGGATGAGAATTCCTCTAATGGAGCTATCTCAATATGCGAATCATTTTCTTCAAGTCTTCTAAGAATATATTATAATTGCGTAAGAAAATAGGATAGTTGTATACTTATGTGTAACTGAAAAAAAAAATATATATATATATTTTTTGTTGACTATGAAAAAGATAGAGGATTTTAAGATGGTTAATGCAACTTCTCAACTAAGAAATTGTATAAATACTCAATATTTGGATTTTAGGTTAATTTATCATTTCGTTATCTGCACGTGTACACAGATTTATTATATATAATTTGGAGAAGCTTTGACAAAATAGCTAGATTTTCTCTCTTTTTTCTCCCCTGTTTTGCTTGTTACTTTATGGTAATGCAATGGATATGCATACGTATTTGAAAGAAGTTAAGAGAATCTTTTTTTTTTCCCTAAAGGAAGAAAAAAATGTCAGAGAATCAAAAGGAACAAAATAATAAACACACTATTAACTAATAGGTGTTATGCCATGCAAATTAATTTTATATAAATTCTATATATTTTTTTGCAGTGAAAAAGGATTTTATTACTCAACAGCAAAATCAGCGAGTACAAAAAAAAAAAAAACCCTAATAAAGACAAGTCGAGAATTTAACCATACAAGTCTCGAACTTGGGAACACGCAAAATTAGCTTAAAAATGGGCTACAAAATTCCCTTCTCGGCGGATTAGGCAAATTAAGGGCCCGTTCACTTCGTTGATTTGAGTTTGTAATTCGAGTTGAGATGTGATTTTGTGTGAGAGTTTTTTACTGTAGCAAAAAAGTTAGATGTGACTATTTCTGAGAGCTTTTTACTGTAGCAAAACTCGAATTCTAAACTCGAATCGGTGAAATGAACGGACCACTATATATGCGTTTAATTTTTAGATTCATATCATAATTTAAATCATAATTTAATATTTATTATAATATTTTTTAAAAAAAATATATACATATATTAAAAATAATTCTAAAATATAATTTTAAATTTTTAAGCTAACAAGATACCGTTCTCGAGGATGTAGCAAATTAAACCACTACTAGCTTGAGAATAGTACTCAAACATCGTACGCAAGGACTCTTTTATTGCTATTATATTTGGATAAATTTCTTTTTGGTAAGAATTTTGAATAAGTTATTAAGATCTCGTTCACTTTATAAATTTAAATTTTTAATTTGAGTTGAGATATGATATTTTTTAAAAAAATTTTATTATAATAAAAAAAATTAAATATGACATTTTTTAAAAAAATTTTACTATAAAAACTTAAAATTAAAAACTCAAATCAGTAAAATGAATCTTAGATTACATAATTTATCGGAGAGTTCTTAATTTATAATATTATAATAAAAGGTTACGTACAGATAAGCCTTTTTCTATCTTGTCGGGATGTGACGCTCCAATGATCAAGTTGCCTTTAGCTTGTAGCCTTGTACATTACACCTGATTCATTGTATTTGTATTGTGTCGTTTCTGTGACTCGTATGATGACCGCTGCTTCCTTTGAATTGAAAATGTCTTCTTTCACAATCACAAATAAATTTTAAAAAATGCTCTTTTTTCATGATCCATTAATTCATACTTATCATCAAAGGCTCTATGTAAAGGGGAATATGCCACATAAAAAAATGCATTTTATTTTTTACAATGCTTAGGTCGGTTAGTACTGACGAATCTAAGATTGATTGTAATCCTAATGTGTTTATCTCTATTGATCACAATCCTTATCTTCTAGTAAATTCCGTTACTTCTTATTGAGTTTCGTATTCAGATCATCTAAATGTCCATATTTAATTCGTTAATTTGAATTAAAATGTAATTTTATGTGAATTTTTTATTGTAATAAAAAAATTAAATATAATTATTTTTAAAATTTTTTTATTATAATAAAATTTAAATTCTAAACTCAAATTGATAAAATAAATATATCTATGTTTTTCATATATGAATTTTAGCCATATCCTCATCTCGCCGAGAAAACTATAGCCGACTTATCCGAATCAGTGATCTATCAACAATTACTATAGTTAAGGTTACCCAAATTATTCGACAATAATTGTATTTTGAACGAAAATACACCACCCCATCTTTCATTAGACAAATTCTAAGATGAACCTTTTTGCTAAAAAAAAAAAAAAAAAAAAAAAAAGTGAATGAACGGCCAGCATAGCTATCCCATATGCATGAAATAAATAAATAAATCCTCACATGCTAAGTAAGTATGAGGAGGAATGTGACATCCAACCGAACTAGATTAATAACAAAACTATGTTTGGACTAAATCGAAGATCTAACTATTTCACCTTCTTGTCAATTATAATTTGAAAGCTATGCATGCATCTTAATAATTTCAAGTAAAATTTTAGATTAAATAAACTAATTAGAAAAAAAATTGTCCAAGTCATATACTAACCAAAACAAATTGACCGGCATGAGTGAGCTACTTTAATTGCAAACGCGACTCTGTCGTCTGCCATGCCACCTACCGTCGCTCTCTTTAGTTAGCTATCTTTGTCGACAATAATTATGTTCTGATTCTGGTTGTTTCTAATTTCTTATATATATATTTTTTACTAGAGCTCGTGGTTTGATTTTGACTGTAATATATTTGAATGGTTTTTGTCTTTTTTGCTTCTTTACGTGTTTAATTAGTGTATTCGTGTCATGATTCGAATCATAATTCGTAATTCGTTATAATATTTTTTATATAAAAAATACACGTAAATTGAGAATAATTCTGAATTATAATTATAAATCTATAAACTAAACGTAATTTATAAACTAAACGTCTAATAGTTTTGATTGGATTTCGCTTTTACCCTGTCCGTTGTAAAATGATTTGAATCCTCCTAGCTACGCATAATTATACTGGCTAGAGATTAACCCTTCATTTTGTGTGCGCTATGAAGAATTGTGCGGTAAAATGTTTGATGTGTAATATTAATGTAGCTGTTTGTGTTCCTGTATGACCCTTTCATTCAGGGGCAGAGTTATAAATGACTGAGGATAGACGGCCTCCAATGTAAATTCTTTTGCCTCTTATTTTGTTGTATATTTTGCTAAAACTTATTATAGTTTGCACCCACGAATATTTGAAATTTAAAGTTATACGTTGTCTTTTTTACTTATTTTTCTGACTCCGCCTCTGTTTTATAGTTTAAAAAAATAATATTTGGAGCTTCAAAAATCTTGACTTTTATATCTATCTATATATATATATATATATATATATATTTCTTTTGCGTATCTTAGGAAACTTATAATCGCAACCATCAAAATATTGACAGATTAACTTATAAACATTGGGAGAAAGAAAAGGTGTAATGCGGAAAATGAAACCAACTGAAAGTAAAAAAGAAGATACGGGCCTGGATTTTAGGAAAATTAAAATATTTTACAGGACATTATGGCTTCGTTTAGTTTACGGATTTAAATTTTTAATTCGAGTTGAGATGTGATTTTATGTAAGAACTTTTCATTGTAGCAAACAAAATTAGATGTGACTTTTCGTCAAAGCTTTTAACTGTAGCAAAAATGAAATTAAAAACTCGAATTGGTGAAATAAACGAAACCAATGTTCATCTCTTTAAAGCGTATATGAGATTGGAAATATTCTTTTTAAGATAAAGTTTGAATAATTATAAACTAGACTTTCAATCACTCCATTTATCTAACGGAATCAATTAGACGTTTGGTTCATAGATTAAAACCATATGATTAGAACCATTTTCGATTTAAGTGTATTTTTTATGAGAGAAAATACTGTAACGAATCACGAACTATGATTTGAATCAGTTGACGAATCCTCCAACCAAACAACCTAATTTCGAGTTAAAGTTTCCCTAAAAAAAGACATTTCTAGTCGATCATTCATTTTGGTTGCCTTACGGTTGATGGAATAGAGATGGTAAAAGGAATAAAATATTAGTAGCAATATGATGTAATTGTGATGTTTATTCAATACAAGTTAATTACGTCACTTGGAACCAATTAGTCAAGTCATTGCGTTCTTTTTCTACATATTTACAACATTGTCCTCG